AAAACTTATTATAGTAGACCATACTGTCAAGCATAGTGGCACGATCCTGTAATCCCAGCACTCCAGAGGCTGAGGCAGGAGGATCACTGCTAGGCTACATAGTAAGTTCAAAGCCAGCCAGTATAACACAGTAAGCCTGTCTCAAAAACAGAAAAATAAAAAGATAATAATCATTAGTCCCTCTCAAACAAAATACTTTCACTCACTCCAAACACACTTACTCCATGGTTCTTGCCACTTTCTAAAGCAGTTCTGGATGCCCTCTTTCATAACCTTACAAGATCGTGTATATATCAAAAATATAGTGAACATTCCTGCCAAGTGTCAGTCAGTACAAAGGCAGGCTCAGAAAACAAGGTGTAACCTCGCATTTACTTTATTCACCACATATAGCATCATACAATTTCTGGCTATTCTCCAGAACTGAGTGACACGAAGATGAATGTTTTTCATAAATTCAGAACACTGACACAATCACAGCAGTGCAACTGGACACTCAAAAAAGGATTTTCATTAGTAGCAACAACAAGAGGATAAGTGTCTTTGAATTGAGTATTTTTGGGCATTCATGGCAATTTGTCTTCTACTATTAGAAATATTTTATTTAAACACACATTTTCTATCACACCTCATGCGATCCAGAAGAAATTACTTACATGAAAATCACAGAAGTCTTTTATCTTTTGACAAGGTTTCATCATGTAGTTCAGGCTGACTTAGAATTCACTATGGAGCTCAGGTTGGCCCCAAACTCAAGGCAAACCTCCTACCTCAGCCTCCTGAGTTCTGAGATTACATGTAGGTAGGATTACGTGTAGGCATGCCCCACATCTAGCATTCACAGATGTCTTACAGTAAGACATTCAAATTTTATTCCCTAACATACTACTACCTGAACATAACAAACTCACAACGTAAGTTTGAGTGCATGTGTAAGAAAGCCACTAGATTTAAAAACGAAAACACTTTAAAACAACCAAACTAAAACCAACATTTCTCAACAGTTAGGGTTCAATATCACTAGAAGATGAACAATACCACAACAAAATCTTACATTTCATTTTGAAAATACAAAAAGTTATAACAAAGATACTGAGAGCAATAGAAAAGCAAAAACGGATACCTTAAAAAGAAAAGCACAAAATAAAGTTCATACCTCAAAATTTTCACTAACTTCTTGCATCATTTTTAACTTCGTTTCATCAGCTGTAAATGACAAAACAAACCATCAGGTAACTGAAATTATGTTTAAGGATATTCCTAAAATTCCTGGCTTAATAATTTAAGAGAAGCAATCAGATCTTATCAGTTTGACTGTCATGGCCCAATACAAGGCACATAGCTAGTTCCCTACACCAGTCACACACATTGATACTCTCAGACACACATGTGCATGCACAGAAAAGAGACACACAAAGACATAGACACAGAGACAGACAGAAACACACACACATACACAGACACACACAGACACACACACACACACGCCTTGTGGGGACTCCAGCCAGAATTGGTCATCACTTTGCTTCTCTACAAGGTAGGGAGAGGAAAAACAAGGATTTTTTTCCCCAGTTTTTTTTATCCAACAGGGTCTCACTTTGTAGTGCAGGCTGGCCTTGAGCTCACTATGTAGCCCAGGCTGGCCCCAAACTTGCTGTGATTCTCCTGCCTCAGCTAGGATTATTGGCATGAGCCACCATACTTGGCTTAAAACATGGATTTAAAAAATTGTATGTTAAAAAAAATTAAGGGGCTGAGGAGATAGCTCAGTAGAATAAGCACTTGCCTGGCAAGGGTCTGAGTTCAATCCCCAGTTCCGCAAAAAAAAAGTAAAAAAAAAAAAAAAAAAAAAAAAAAATTGTATGTTGCTATTTATCTCAATGTACACATTTAAACTAGAGATGAGGGTCCAGGAGATGGCTCAGTAGAATAAGTGCTTCCCTGGCAAGCACAAGAGCCTGAGTCCAATGGGGAGGGGGAACGACCCAGAGATGAGTCATGAATCAACTCACGTGTATTTACATCTGTGAGAGCTGCCACAAACTGAAGGTATTTTTTCATAAGAGTGGTTTGGTCAACCACTGTGGCCCCCTGTGTTGCGACAAATGCCATTTTTCTTTTGAGCAGATTTCTTTCTCAAAAGAAAAATACCATGTCCATGAGTTCATCCAACCTATGGAAAGAAATGCAGGGTTAGCCAATTTATCAAGAGCATGAGCTCACAAGTTGTAAAGAAATCTTTCCTAAATTTCTGTGCTAACCTAAAAACTTATGTATTAATCCAAAATAAAAATACTCTACCTTTTGAATATAAAGTTTACCCAAAACCATGTTTCCTGAACATGATTTTTCGACAGCCTTTCTTTCCTACCATATTTGTTTCCTTAAGCCACTGGCTGACAAACATTTTTCTATAAAGAGACAGATAAGTTTCGTCTTTCTGGCCATGTAATCTCTGTTGTAGTCACAGACAACATTTAAATGGATGTGCACAGCTGTGTTTCAATAAAACCTTATTTGTGGATAATGAAATTTGAACTTCATATAATTCTCATTTATGACAATCTTTTTTTTTTAATTTGTCTAACTATGCAATTGACTCATAGTGATCCTCCTATGTCATCCTCCCCAGCGCTGAGATTATAGGTATGCACCACTAGCCTTGTTTCAGGGCAGCAAAGCATGCTGTATTGGGATCGAATGAACTGGGGGCCTGGGTGTTTGCCAGGCAGGCCCTTAGACCACTGAGCTATCTCCCCAGCCAAGATCTACTTTGATATATTTTCTCCAACCACTTAAAAAACACAGAAACCTTGTCAGCCAGATAGCTTAGTGGATTAAAGCACCTGCTTAGGCAGATGCAGGGGCTGGGGATTCCACCCTAGCCTGCCTGCCTGGTGGCCCTTGAGAATGGGTGTGGGGGCATGAGACTGTAATCCTAGCACTTGGGAGGCTGAAAAACAGGATCACTATGAGTCCAATCTGTGTAGTGAAACCCTGGAGACCCTGTACTAAATGCAGAAACAAAACAAACAAGAAAAAAAAACAAAAAACCATAAACCATTCATGCGGCTGGGAGTATAATAGCTCAGTAGTCAATTAAACATGCAAAAAGCCCCGAGTTTGATTCCAAACATAAAAAAAAAAACCCAAAAAAATTAAGCACACAGATTGTACAAAAATAGGCAGTAGGTTGGATCTGATCAGCTAATAGTTTATCATCTCTTGCCCTAGACTGGTTCTCAAACTGGTATACATCAAAATCATCAGAAGCCAAGGGTGGATTCCCAAACATTACCCCAGTGACTGTGATGGCCCCAGGAAGCTGGACACTTTGCAGCTGGGGTACCCCAGGCCCTCAAAAAGTGGTTCTTCAATACGCCTTAAAAATTTTACGAGTCGAAAATAATTAAGTTGATGGTGGCAAGGAGAACTGCTGCTCCAAATAAATATAGAAATTTGGTTTCTGTTTTAAGTGGTGGCACAAAAGTGTTCACAAAACCTGATAAAATAGCTTTCACCCCTCCTCCGACTCGTCGCATAATTTCATTCCGTACTAAGAGGTGGTTGCATAGCTTGGTTCTTTCTTCAACCCCTTGGGAGGCCGTCCAACATTCTCCCTCGGGAATGCCACTGAGGGGGGACTCTCAGAAACAACAAAAAGTTCCCCAAGAAGATGCCCGTGGATGTCCAAGAACAGAGGACGTCCGACAACAGCCCACCAGAGGCCCCACCCTCAGGGTAGGAAGTCACTAAGGACACCTGGGGGAGGGCACGACTCCCTCCTCCAGATACCGAAGATCTCACGGCCCTCCCTCTCTCTGTCCCCAGGGAACCAAGACTCAGGCTCTAGGCTTCTAACAATCCCCTAATCCTGACCAAAGTTTTTTTTTTTTTCCTCTCTCTTTTTTGACGTTGAATGTGAACTCTGACATTTCCCGGGACCCCCGAGAGAAGCCGGGCCCCGCTTCCCAGCGTCTCTGACGAGGGGAGACATCCGGTTCCTCCAGACAGTGGAAAGCGGCTCGGAGCCTCGGAAGTCGCCAATCCCACCACGTCCGGCCAGGTAGGGAGGAGAGGTCCAGCTCCCGGCAGGCGCCCAGAGCCAACGGCTCCGCCCCGACTGCGCCGAGCCTGGCTTGAGGCAGCACCGCCCAACCCAAGAGGGCGCTGTCGTCGCCGCTACCGTACCTTCGCTCTCCGCGTCTGGCCTGACGAGCGACGTGCCTGCATGGCGGCCGAGACGTGCCACACCAACCGAGAAACCCCTCTAGGGAACAAGACCCCGACCCCTCCCGCGAGCTCTCCAGTCCCAAAAGGCCCCTAGGTGCCCTCCTTTTGTCGCCGTCTCGGGAGACTCCGCCACCGCCCGCCCCCTAGGCCGCGCTATGGAGAGCGGCGAGGACCAATCCCCGCACCGCTAACCGCGCGCCTCCCGCCACCTGCGCCCGGATCGACCGGAAGCGATGGAGGCCGAGAGTCGCCTCCGGCCACGCCGCCTGGGGTCGGCTCCCGCGAGGGCCTGCAGGACACCACCCCGCCTGGAGCCCCCGCCGCGTCGCGGGGGACTCCGCAGGCCAGAGCATCTCGCGCGCTTCCCGAGGCCGCACGTCCGCGCGTGCTTACCCCAGCCTCTGCGGCCGGCCTCCCGCACTCCGGCCCGCGCCGCCCGCGGAGCCCCCACCGCTGCCGCCGCTCCGCAGCTCGCAGTCCCGCCTCCGCTTAAAGCGGCCGCGCCCGCCCACCGAGAACTAGGCCCCAGCGTACCGCCCCCAAGTGGGAGAGGCCTGGGCGAACTGCGAAGCTAGGCGGGGAAGGGGGAGGGGCATCTGAAGTTGGAAGCGGGGAGGGGGTTGTGGCTCTTTAAACCTCGGGCTGCAGGAAGGGGCCTCCAGGCCTGCAAGTACAGAATTTTCCTGCGGGGCGTGGTGGCGCACGCCGGTAATCCCAGCACTCACTCGGTGAGGCTGAGGCAGGAGAAGCTTCCGAGTTTGAAACAAGCCTGGGCTACAAAGTGAGCTCAAGACCAACCTGAACTGCATAGTGAGACCCTGTCTTTTAAAAATAAAAAAGTTTTCTTGAACCTCTGGTGTCCCCAAAGCTCCTTGTGGCCCCAGGTGAGTTCGCTCCCTTCCTGGGACCCTTAAGGAGCCAAAGAAGGAGGTGCAAAGAGGGACTTTAGGAGGCTGGGCGTGGTGGCCTGCGCCTGAAATCCTAGCTCTTGGGAGGCTATGAACAGGCTATGAGTCTCTAAACACTATGAGTGATCTAGTAGTGAGACCCTGAACACCTTGTAGACCCTTCCTTAAAAATAAAAAAAATTTTAAAAAGGAGAGAGTTTAGGAAAAAATAGATGAGGACTCTAGGGTTCAGTCCCCAGTACAAAAGAAAAGGCACACACATAGTCTCCTGCTCTGCTGGAGCCCCTGCTTCCCTTACATGCTGGATGTTATAGCTTGTGTCAAGACCTCCCCCCAAAGCCTCATGCACCCACTGGGGAGCTTCTGAGAGGTGGCTAGGTCTACAGTATGTCAGTTGGGATCGAGGGCGTGTCCTTAGTAAATCAGCCCACTGGTTGGTTTGGCAGGGTTCTGGCTAAGTTTAAGGGTGCACGTGCTCACCCACTGTAGGTCCCATAGTCTGCAAGAACACCTAGAGGGCCTCTTTCTGCCCACTTGCCCTGGACAATTTCTCCTCTGCAATGTTCCCTCTCTGCCATAGAGCCAATTGACTATGGACTAAAACCTCTATGAACTGTGCACCAAATAAAACTTTGCTCCTTTAATTCTGGGTGTTTACACTTCCGGGAGGCTGATCTTAGGACTTCCACCCCTGCAAGCAACTTTCCATTGCTATGGATCCTTCCAAGATCTCTTGTAGGTATCAGCAGGATGACTAGGTAATCTGAAGTCTAAGGAGTTCAGCTGCTCTGGCAGAGCTGAGGTCCAGGCCTGGAATCCTATAAATTCAATAGAGGGAGCTCCCTGAATTCCATCTTGACTGCTGTAAACTGCCGTATCCCAGGAGCTGACCTGGGATCACTGTTACCTGATCAGTAGTCTACAGTCCCATAGTTACACATTTCTGGTAGAGGATAATGAAGATTTTTGGTAGGAATATAATCCCTAGGGAGGCTGCCCTTCTATCTTGATGACTGAAACAGCAGACGTCTCTGCCTCTCTCATTGTTCCCCCGCTGGCTGGAGGAGCTTGGGTCTTGGCCAGCAGCTGCCTGCCCCTTGCTTCTCTTTGCTCCCCCTTGCACCTTTCTTCCCTGGCTATCCAGCAAGGTCCAGGGAGGCAGTGTGGTTCCTCTTTTCCCACTCTCACCACTTCAGTCGATACTGTTGCATTTTGAGAACACAGAGCTCCCAGGAGTACCTAAGAACCAAAGGGAAGGATCTGGGCCCCTTGTTTACATCAACCCTTCCAGAAGATTCCCTGGTTTCAGCCTTCACCCTCATTGAAACAAGTCTGCAAATGCTACCTAAGTGACACTTCTGGGTTTTAGTCCCCTAGCGCTGCTTCCTGTGTACTGACCTCCGTGCTATAGCATAAGCGTTATAACAAGGAATCACCTGGGTGTGCCAGTAAACCTGCTTGTGATTTATTTTTTTGGTGGTGAGAACTCCAAAAGTAAATGTACTTGGGATTTTTTTTTTTTTAATTTTTATTTAGTACAGGGTCTAAAGGATCTCATTACATAGATCGGACGCATAGTGATTTTCCTGTTTTCAGCCTCCAAGTGCTGGGATTACAGGTGTGCACCACCACGCCCAGTCTCATGTACTTGGGATTTTTATATTGAGTAATATAGAGAGACTAGTTTTTTCTCTGTAAAGAAAAGAAAAAGAGAGAGAGCTGTTAATACCAGAGATTCAGAGGTAAGCAGCCAATGAAAACTGTATGTGGTGGAGTCCTCCAACCTATGGCGTTCAGCTCAAACTGGTGTCAGATGATGACAGCCAGCACTGGCAGTGATCAGCAGCTGGCTGTGTCGACTGTTGGTATCCAGCATTACCTGGTGTCACCCGGTGACTGCTAACAGAGATACACTTTGCCCATTCAAAATTTCCATCTGAATTGAGCAAAAGAACCCTAGGCTGATTGGTAAGACAATGTAAGGTGTTTTTGAGAGATTTTTTGATAGGCTCCAGCCCCAGTATGAATTTCTGAAATCATCATGCTGGTCATCTAATATGGCTGATGCCCTTAAAACAAAAGTCCATCTTCACAAGACCACCCTACCCCTTCTTCTCCAACTCAGTTCAGGGTATAATTTTTTTTCACCTTTCCTGCTGCCTCAGGGAAGACCCCCAATCAACTCTCTCAGGTCCCTCTCAAATTCCACCCCTGAATGTCCATTTTGAATCGGTGTGTTCAAAATGGTTAGAATAGATAGATAGTTACATTCTCTTAATGAATAGAGGGATTTGTTCTAATAGTGTTTGTAAATAGGATATCATGTTTGCATCTTGTACAGCAATTAACTATTAGGAAGAATGTATGCAATGTGTTAATTATTGACTCTGTCCTACTAATTTGGTGTGAAACTGTCTCATTGCTATTTGTTTCTCATTAAAATTATGGAGGGGTTGGTGAGATGGCTCAGTGGTCTAAAGCATCTACTTAGAACAAGCTTAGCAAAGCACAGGGACCGCGGCTCAATCCCCCAGCACAACATGCCAGCCAGCCCCACCCCCTGGTGGGCTGAGCTGGCCACACACACACATACACACACACATAAATAAATAATTTTTTTTTAAAATAAAAAAATAAATAAATAAAATTATGGGAAAAAAAACCAATATTGAGATGTCATCTCACTCCAGAAAGAATGGCTATCATAAAGAAATCAACCAACAACAAATATTGGAGAGGCTGTGGGGAAAAGGAACTGTTCTCCACTGCTGGTGGGAATGTAGACTGGTGCAACCATTATGGAAATCGGTGTGGAGACTCCTTAAAAAACTTGGACTGGAAATCCCATTTAAACCTGCTGTTCTTCTACTGGGAATTTTCCCAGTAGATCTGAAAACATCATATCATAG